TTTTTTTTGATGTATTACATGTAAATTCAAGCCAAGGGATTAATGTGTAAATGAGTTAGTACTCTTTTGTTGTAACTAAGTGTTAACTTGGAAAGCTGTAAGCCTGTAGGGCATTTTGTTATGAGATCCTTTCTCTCTCTTACTTTTCCAAAATCACCATTGTTGAGCCTCTCACTCTAGACTCTACCTTCTCTCTAGGTTTTGATCTAGTCGGAGTGATTTACTCACCTAGATAGGGGATGTACTCCGCGGTTTAGGGGAAGATGGGGGATGTACCTCTAAACCGGATAGGTATTTGGGGCAGCTCTTGATTTGTTATCAGTGTGGACAACCTGGGCATATGAAGAGGTTTTGCCCACAGTTGAGTGCCACTTCGGGAGCGTCTGGTTCTAGGCAGACGCAGGGTTTTCAGCCAGCTCAGTCTGTGCAGGCCTCGAGGGCCAATCCGGGAGCTATTTGTTGAGAATGTGGATATAGTTTTTATACATATTTGTGGAAATGATGATAGAGCTAGTATGCTTATCTGTTGTTAAAGGGAAAATGAAAAGTAATTGGGACTTGTAAGTCGTTGACATAAATATGTTATTTATGTGATTGTATCAGTGTTGACCGACTATCAATTGCTAATGTTTTAGTCATTGTCCATGGTTGGTTTAGTGTATTTCTACTGGGTTGTGGCTCACCCTATATGGGAATATCATTTTCAGGTACAGGAAGCATGCCACCTCCAAGGACATAGCTGGGAGGCTAGTGGCGGACATAGTTTTGTCGTTTTACTGTTGATGTATTACATGTAATTTTAAGCCAAGGGCTTAATGTGTAAACGAGTTAGAACTCTTTGTTGTAACCAAGTGTTAACTTGGAAAGCTGTAAGCCCGTAGGGCATTTTGTTATGAGGTTAACATGTAATACTTACATCTTGGAATTCTAATGATTGAAAGGAATGCAGTTAGTTTAAATGTAAATGCATGTCTTATCTGATGGGTTTATTGTTATTATTTTGAGGGCGTTACACTAAAAGTTTTTTGAGACGGCATAATGAGTATTTGCGATGGCATTTTGCCGTCGGAAAAAGTCAAATTTTTTGTAGTGGAGTGCGGCTCACATCTCACTAACTTTAAACCTATATTATACACCCACTTTCGGGACAAAATTTTATGGTCCATTGTATTTGTATAATAGATATTAGTCGATTTAAATTGATTATTATAAAATATTTCTAACAATTGACTGATCAATTTTTCTTGGTCATATCTAGGGTTTGAGTTAGAACATGACCCATGATGTGGAATGACCGACTTCGGATAATCTATATTTACCTATATTTATATTAAATAAAAGGGTGTTTTCAATCATAGGTTGCTCTTTGGTCTATCCAATCTGGAAAAAAAAAAAAAAAAAAAAAAACAAGTTGCTCAAGCTCTGACCAAATTAAAAAATATGTTACTCAATCCTTAAAATATTTCGAATTGGGCTCAGGTTGCTCTGGCTGAACTCGCCAAAGTTTGCTACTCTAACAAGGGGAGAAGTTACATAGTTCAATTAGTGACAACTTAAAAATTGACACATAAAATGCATGCCATTATGGTAAAATTATGAGCCATGTTTGAAAAGAGTGATTTTTTGTCAAAAAATTCTCGCAAGTTGTCAATTGATTATCTTTACTTTTTTACGTGACTTTTCGTAAAAAGTTAAAAATTTATTTAAAAAGTCAATTTCTAAACAAGTCCAATTATGAGTTTCAATCTTTTTCAGTTTTGTATTTTGCATATAAAAGTCTAACTATTTATATTATTTATATAAACATTATGTTATTAATTTTTTTATATCCCGTGCATAGTACGAGCTTACCGCTAGTACCATCTAAAATGAAATAAGTGAACAACTTATTTATCCAATTTTGCAGTCTAATTACTACCACATAATATTTGAACTCTCATTAATTTATGATATCTACCACCTTGTGAAATACTAACATTACAAGAAGAAACAACCTCACCAAAAATTGTTGAAGAAAAGTCTGGGAATACAAGTGGAGGAACATGTCAAAATGACAATCCATATTAGTCCCAAAAAGCACCAAACAAATTATTGGATTTCTGGATGGAAAATTCTCCCTACGTAGCTTTACCATAAAATTATGTAAGTTTTTACAAATTTATATAAATAATTTCACAAAAATACGTAAATTGAATACAAATTTACTTAAGTCTATTCATAAAAATGAACTTGCATAATTTTATGATAGGGTTACATACGGTGTGCATTGCATACCGGAGATGACAGCCACAAAAAATTAAAAAAATAGAGACCAAAGGAAAACACAGCTAATTCTCAAACACGAAGATTGACACTACAACAAAATGCACATTCAGCAACCAAAATTGGCGACTAAATTTAGTCGCCAAAAGTGTAGAAATTGGCGACCAACTAATTTTTTTAGTCGCCAAAAGTAAAATATTTAGCTGCTAATTTTTTTTAGTCGGGGTATATTGGTTTTTGGTGACTAAAAAAATTTTAGTCGCTAAAAATGTTAGAATTGGCGACCAAAAAAAATTTTAGTCGCCGTATATTAAGTTTTGGCTACTAAAATCATTTTGTCGCCGAAAGAAAAATAAAAAATTAATTTTTTACCTTTGGCGACCAAAATTTTAGTCACCAAAAGTTTTTTTTCAGAGACAAAAAAAAAATTTTAGTCGTCAAAAAAGAATTTTATTGTTATTTGGCGATCAAAAATATATTTAGTCGCTAAAGGTTGTAATATTTGTTTTAGAGGAAAACAAATTATTTTTGGCGCCCGATCTATTTACACTCTGTTCTGTCTCTCACACAAACAGACACACGATATACACTTCTGTGTCAAACACTAGCAAACCTCACCCTCACCATCCAGACTCACCATCCTTGCTAACAGTTACCATCGAACTTCCACCACCGACCATCGCGACTCTCGCTACCGCCACTGACCATCGCGGCTCTCGCCACCGTCGCTCACCATCGCGGCCCCCCTCCCAGCCACATTCAGGTTTCTCTCTCTCTCTCTCTCTCTCTCTCTCTCTCTCTCTCTCTCTTCCTCTATTTCCCCATTTCACCATCTCGGATCTAGGGTTTTATTTTATTTTTGATGCTGTAGGATTTTGATAAAATCATTTTAGGGTTTTACTCTTTTTCTACATTTGAAGCACATATGAGGTCCAAGTTGTGTTTAATTCCAAAATTTGTTGCTCTATTTAAGCAATCGTGAAGAACTGCTTAAATTGCTGAATAGAGTTATATGTGTGTATATATATAGTATTATTAGGTAGATAGCAATTGATTTAAGGTACTGAACAATTTAAGAATATTATTAGTAATTAAGTTAATGGAAAATTTTAGGAGTATATTTATATAGATTATATATGCTTACACTTCTTCCTCTAAGGAGTATAGATTGATATAGATTATATATGCTCATGCTCTATTTTTTCCCTTTCTATTGCTTCAGAGTTATACAGTAGATGAGAGGCTAGGAAGCACGGATACGGATACGGGATACGGATACGATACGATACGGCGATATGACAAAATTTGAAAAACTAGGATACGGGTACGGCGGGGATACGTTAGTAAAAAAATATTATTTTAACAATTTTTAGTAATGCAGTATGCATAAAAATAAAACTTAAAGCAAAAGACAACTTGATAAAGAAGAAAGATTCCTACAAAACTAAGAGCCTTCAAGGTCAATAGGTTTAACTTGTTCCCCTTCATCAGTGAATATCACAAGACCTTAGCTAAAGCCAAAGCCAAAAAACCATTCTTAAATAAAAATTTCAGCAAATATACTTTTTTAAGTCATCAATGATAGCCTAGGAAACACGGATACGAATATGGTGATATGGGGATGTGGATCTGGCGATATGTCAAAATTTGAAAAAGTATGATACGGGTACAGTGGGGATACATTCATAATTTTTTTTTTTTTTTTATGATTTTAATAATGTAATATGCATGAAAATAAAACTTAAAGTAAATTAATAAATAAAGAGAGGGATTCCTATTAACCTAAAAGTGCTCAAACATTCATAAAACATCCAAAACTAAAAGCAAAACTAAATGCAAATGCAAATTAAACATCATCCTTACATGCCAACATCAAAAAAAGAGTGAGAGTAGAGAGAAGAAACGTGAGAGAGTGAGAAAGCGAGAGAGAAGTGAGAGAGACAACAAGGATACATCAATTTGACAAATTCTATTACTTAAGCTCTCACTATATTCCTCTTATGAAAGAACTAAACAAAATATTATAAGAAATATGTAACTTCGAGTATCCGATACTTCAAAATTAAGTATCCGATACTTCAAAATTAATAAAAAATTAATTAAGAAGTATCCGATACTTTTAAGAAGTATCTGATACGTATCCGCGAGTATCCGAGGAGTATCGGTATCCGATAAGTATCCGATACGGATACGTCACCCTTTTTGAAGTATCCGTGCTTCATAGATGAGAGGAAATTTTAGTTGTTGATGCTCATGCTCTGTTTTTTTTTCCCTTCTTGAATGACACTGGGTTGATATTGATTATGGAACTTAGTGACGGTTTGCTGCTTTGCTCTGTTTTTTATCTTCTATTTTTTCTCCCTTGATGCTCATGCTCTGTTTTTTTTCCCTTCTTGAATGACACTGGGTTGATATTGATTATGGAACTTAGTGACGGTTTGCTGCTTTGCTCTGTTTGCTGCTTTGCTCTGTTTTTTATCTTCTATTTTTTCTCCTTGTACATCTTCGTATTGGTGTCTAGAAATTCCAAAATGGTATTTTGGGAAACTATTAATAATTTTAAAATACAAAACACAATTTGACAAGCACTTCACTTTCAACACTCTTCCCTGAATCATTACTTGCAACATCTCAATTGGTTCACACATTTCTCCCGTATTTTCATATTTTTATATCATGGTGGATTAAGGATTCATGTCTATGATTAATTTGGCAGTAAATTTAATCAAGTGAATTTCAAGAGGAGGATTTGCCTGATGGTTTACCGTTTGAGTTGATTTAGAGTGCCATCTGGAACGATGAGGTTAAACATTTTCAGATAGGCTTAAGATGTGGGGTTGATATTTTCCCTGAGCTTGCTGGTTTTAGTTGGCTGGAGTATGCTTCATTTGGCTATAAAAGTTTATCAAAGTTCACTTAAAGAAGGAAAAATCTCTGGTTTTTAATTTAGATTGAAAATTTATATGTGCCTATTCAAGGTATAAAAGTTAACCTGATAGAAAGAGTGTATTTAATCAATATTTTTTAATCTGCATAGCTTTAATTTTTAATAGGAATCAAGGACTTGGTTTTGTGAGTTATCATAATTGTTGAATTGAGATATGAATTATGAATAAAAGTACTATTTTTTCAGAGCATGAGTTGAATTGAATGTTGAATTGTAAGATTTAAAAAGGTAGTGTGTGGTAACGTTTACCTTTTTGTTTATGTTTAGAAAAAATTTGTAAACTTGTTTTTGTTTATTTTTAGAAAAAGAAAAACAAAAACTACAAACACGTTTGGTTTGAAAATCTCAATGAACTTCTGAATTTGTTGAAAGTTCAGCCTAATTTGGATAGAATTTTGCAAGATGGGAGAATTTAGCCAAATATATTATTAAAAAAAAATAAGTACTTTGATTTTCCAACTCCATCCAAGAAAGAAAATTTTTGGAAAAGAGGTTTGTTTTTACAGTTTCTTATTGACTAAATTTCCCAATTTCAAAAACCTCTTCTCATATTTGCGAGTGTGAACACATAAAACTCTTCAAAGTTGCATGCCCTAGTCTCTCATGGGCATAATATGGATGTGGCAATTCTTAAAAGTCAAAAGCCATAAGAGGTGGAATGAAGTTTGGTACCAACAATCCAGTCTAAATTTCAGATGTGCTCTAAATATGGATTACTTACTGGAGTTTGATAGAAAATTTTTGGAAAAAGTTAAACTGAACATTCTTAATGCCAAACGCAACAAAGCCTTAATTTTGTCTAGGTGCTTTGGTGGTCTTTATGAGCTTTAATTACCATGATGGATTTTCTAGAAGGGAACAATAATAGGTTATGGTATAATTTTATTGAGACATAAAGATCTCTAATTTGCTAAATATTGGGCACATTTTGCATCTTTTTTCTTTGGTTGTGATAAAAAGAAGCAAGGTTTTCTTTCAGTTAATTAAAGAAAATTCTAGCGTTACCCTCATTACAGAGATTCTTGTTAATTAGTGGTAAGAACCTTAATCGAGTAACAGTCTAAAGCAACAGAGTTGATGGCAGATGGCAGGACCAAGATACTTGACTTGTACCTTTTATGGTGATACTGATTTCTCACTAGTTTTTCAAACAGACCTAGAAAATGATTTATGAAAACCATGCCAATGTAGACATGTTAGAGCAGTTTCAGATGAAAGCTGTATACGTATTTGTTTTTTGCCCACATTTTTTGGATTTAATTTGTTGCAATTTCTTGTATATGAAGGTACTACTCACACAACAATGATTACCTTGAAATATGTCGCTATTACAAGGCAATATATGAGATTCCCTCTGTGAAAGAAGAGCCAGCTAAGTGGATACCGGTAAAGAAACTTAACTTGTGCTTCCTTAGAGATAAAAAAGAAAAGAAAATGCTTTCTTTTTTTTTTTGACTATCTAATAAAGAAATTCTCACACTTCTCTAGGTTGTCAATTGTAAGAAGGGAAAGATTGCAATACAGCGGCAGTCTAAACATAATATGTTTCATCTAAGGAGCTTTTGTAAACCAAACTCCTCTCTTAAAAATAGAAAGTAACTCCCCTCCTGCAAAGTTCTTTATAGAATGATTTGGACTTTGAAAACACCTTTCTTAGTTGTTTTCCATCACGAGTTGTGTTCTATCTCATTTCTGTGAAAAATTTTGTGCAAATTCATAAAGGAAACAACCAACTCCTATTCCTAATTCTGAAGCAAATCGAGTAATAGTAGGGGCCTACAACAACTGATTAGCTGAGATGCATACATTATTTATTATCAAGGTATCATCATCCACCATAGTCGTAAAGAGTCCTGGAACATTTCATACAAATGGACATTCCACCCACATATTGTGCCAGAATTTAATATTTTGAAGTTTCACACCTTGAGGTGAAGTTGCTTCTTAAAATATTCTTACCTTTGATACTACCATTCCACAAGCCAACTCATACATTTCTCACCTTCTTTGTAATCATAAACTGTTTTCCTGAAGCATTCCCACAGTTCTTCTCCACTATACTCCACAAAGAATCTGCCACTTCCTCTGTAGTAGTTGGTTTGCTCTCAACATACAAATTCCCAATCCTTTTCTTGAGAAGTAAGAACAGATGATCTGCCACTTCTCTCCTTCCCTTTCCTAAGATCAAAGAAGACACCACATCCAAAATCACCAAATGCAAATGATACTCAAACCCATGGCATTGTGATTTTAATAAGAGCTTGTTTCCTTAGATAAACACTACCTCTTTACACTGCTACCCTCCTCTTAGTCTCTTAACCGTATGGAACAGAATTTTAGACGATTTTAGCCTTAAAGGAGGAGCCTAACGACAAATGCAGGACAATGGTATTGTTCCCATGCCCACAGCCCAAGTTCTCTGCCATGGCTTAAACTTCTGGTACCGTGCTAATCAGGTTCTTCTTTTTGTAATCATCCTATTGGGATCAATTCACCTTGCCTATGTTATTCATAAGTCAAACAACTTCAATAAAACACATCAACACTAGTGAGAAATCTAAGATGCCATTCTTCTGCTCCACAAAAAATAACATGACAGAAAGGCAGGTGAGAAACTAATACAAATTCTCCTCTATCCCCCACCATGAATCTCTGTACCTCCGTCTTCAACACACCTCACAACTGGTAACACCTCCATGACTAGAATAAGAGAAGTGAGCATAGTTGCTTAAAATCCCTTGAACTTGAGAAAAAAAGCCCTTTCCTTTTGCCAATGATTAGGATGGAGAATTTCACCTTGGGGATAGCACCAATAAACTAATCATTACCAAAATGTGTAATATCTACCACCATGATGTTTTAGGGATCGGTGAAATAACTGGTACTTCGATAGTCTTCTCAAACTCTCCATGCTCATAGCCTTTGGACATCTATTAATCTTGTGCAAGTGTTATGTTTTAGCGTGTGCATATTGAAGCTACATTTTGCAAAATGCTATTTCTATCCATGGAAATTAGTTACCCTGCTAATGTCTTTATTCTATTGAGTTTCTAAACAGGAATTTGTGTACTCTTTTTATTTTTCTTTTTTTCTTTAAAACGCACTCTCTTCTTTTGATTTCCTATTTTCAGTTTTTTGTTAGGCCTATTTGATATTTGTTGCAGTCAATAATTTGAAATTCCCTCATTTAAGAACAATGAATTTATGCTCCTTCTATTCTTTTCTTTATATTGTATAGATGATACATAGTATAAAACATCACACATGATATATAACTTTTTATTGACAATTATACTATCTCAAACAATTATCACTTAGACCTCGTTTGGGAACAAGCTAATTTAGTAATTTTTTGGCTATTTGGCTAAAATATGAGCTAAAAAAAACTAGTATGTTTGGGATGACTTTTTAGCTTTTTACGAAAAGATGTGCAAAAAGTAGAGAGAAAGGAGAATCTTTGACTTTTTGGTATGGATTGTTGGCTTTTTGACTAATTTAGCAACTTTTTGACTTTTTGGCTAAAATGGAGGGTTCCCAAACAAGGCCTTAGCCCCCGTTTGGGGAGTGGGTTGGCTTTTTTGGCTATTTTAGCCTGGGGCTAAAAAGCCTGGTTTGGGAAGGCCTTTTTGGCTTTTTAGTGAGGTGTCATCTTGTTAAAAGACCAAATTGCCCTTTTCCATTTTTTTTATTTTTTAATTTGGGTTGGGATTTGGCATTATTTTCGTTTTTTTTCTTTCTTTTTTTTTTTCAATTTTGGCTTTTTGGTGAAAAACAAAATTTTTTGGTATGTTTTTTTTTTCGGTATTTTTTTTTTACAATTTTGGCTTTTTGCTTAAAATATATATATATATATATATTTTGGATTTGGAATATTTTTGTTATTTTTTATTTTTATTTTTTCTGTTAGGTTTCAATTTCGCCTATTTTCCTTCTTTTTTTTTTTTTTTTGGGGTTTGGATTTCGGTTTTTTTTTTTTTTTTTTTGGTTTTTTTTTTTTTTTTTGTATATTGGGTGTCGATCTGCCGACTTTTGCTTAATTTTTTTATTTTTCATTTTTTTTTTATTTTGGGTTTGGAATTGCCATATTTTGGTTCTTCTTTTTTATTTTAATTTTTTTATGTAGGGTTTCGATTTTGCGTGTTTTTTTTTTTTGGGGTTTCGCTTTGGCATTTTTTGCTTTATTTTTTTTGTTGACAATTTTTTCATGTTGGGTTTCAATCTCCCGAATTTTGCAAATCCAAATTTTTTATTTTTTATTTTTTTTGAATATATTTTTCAGATTTTGCGCTAATTTTTTTTTTCTTTGAATTGTTTTATTTTGCGCTTGGATTTTTCGTATTTTGTTTAATTTTTTTTCCTGTTCCTTTTTTTAATTTTGGGTTTGGATTTGGCGTATTGTGCTTAAATTTTTCGATTTTTATTTGCGAATTTATGTTTTTGTCTTTTTATTGTTTTTTTTTTTTTTACTATAACTATGTTTTTTTTTTTTTTTTGTTTTTTATTTATTTTTAAGTATGTCTTGTTTTTTTTTAATTGGTATACAATAACTTTTTTTTTAATATATTTATGTGTTTCATTTATTTGTAATTTACGTCGCACATGACAATTTGTCTATTCTTTTTCTTTTCCATTTGTTTTTATCTGTTTCACCTTTTTTTTGTTTTTCCAAAAGCAAAATTCGTATGGATTGTTATTTTTCAAAGTTAGGCACGTCAGTAACTGGAAGGGGTTACATTCCCATGGAAACTCATACATATTATACATGATAATATATTTGAATACAGTCTGTTTCACGTGTGTCATTATGTGACAACCATACGAAAATTATTTTGAATACTATATATTTCCTAACATTCCGTTCTTACGCATGTAACATAATTTGTCGCGTATGTGAAGGCGGACCAATGCCATATAGGGGTCCTCATCTCCAACCATTAAACCATCCTCGTCATGTTCAACTTCTAGTATGGCATTTACTATTGTCATAGTCTCTTCCTCGTCACAGATTGGCTGAACAGTTGTTGGGTTACCTGTGTTTCGCCGTATATAATTATGTAATGCCATTGACGCACCTACTAACTGAACTTGCACATTTGCAAAGTCATACCGAGGCATGTCTCGAATAAACCCCCATCGCTGTTTCCAGGCACCGAAAGTGCGTTCCACCACACTGCGTAAGGACGAGTGCACTTTGTTAAATAATTCCCTTGGCGTGTTCGCCATCCTGTTCCGTGCAATACATTGGAATTCTTGTTGGTGGCAACGGTCACCTTTGAATGGTGCTAAGTAACCAATCTGGTTTGGATAGCCAGAATCAACAAGATAATATTTGCCTACAGATATGACAACAATGTATGACGCAAAAAACGAACATTCTGCATCATTTTCATATAACGCTTTCTGAGGAAAAAATTAATACATTATTAAATCTATTAACAGGACCATGTGTTACCTTCGTCAGGATGTGGGAAGGGGACATTCTCATTTGTTAGTATCTCGTTGAATATGCGACTATCATGCATACTTCCTTCCCATCCGCAAGAAATGAATATGAAACACATGTCAAAATCGACAGCGGCCATTATATTTTGTGTGTGACAGTATTTCCTACCAAAATATGTTGCCGCATCTGGCCCCGTAACCCATGCACTGACATGTGTTTCGTCTATTGCGCCAATGCAGTCCTGTAAACATGGATCATATGTTTTGTTTCGTAACTTTGTAACAAGTGTTTCAAATTTGTCACGTGCAATTAATAACAAAAACCATATATATTGTCTTGATTTATATGTCAATCATGTTTTGCTGAAGTACCTTGAATGGTAGGTATTTCCTTCTAGACCGCACGTATGGATGTATACGATGCTGACTGTATGTGGGCCGGCAATGGACAACAGTGAACTCTTTCATGGAATTTAATACGTTATGCACGTGCCTCGACACAGTCTCCCCGGAATGTTGGAACCATTCCTGGATTTTCCGATTTTGCTTCCCTTTCAAGACATGGATAAACATCGCAACGCTTTCTTCAACAGCTAAGCCATGTGGACGTTGCGGGACTTGTAACCCAAAATCATTTACTAATGTCTCACACAATGCGGCAAAAACTTCCTTCGACATGCAAACATTTTCCTCAAAGCGACCCATATGCCCCGCATATAGTTCGCATATCCATGTATTCCCGGTTAGTATAGAAGTGCGACATGGCGTTTTATTCATGTGTTTTTGGTACCATTCTGTCGCCAACTGGCATGCTTGTAGAAATGTGCAGTTCTGTTCTTGTTGCACCTGGACCGCCATTTGATTAAGCATTTCCATTATTTCATCATGGTTGCTTCCATCCCAGGGATTTATCGCATCTTCGTTGATGCGAAACCTACAAAAGTGGTAGCCTTTCAATCAATTGGCACGTGATTCATTGACTTAAATTATATTGAATTTTGCAATTATACAATGTCGACATTGTTTTTAATGAAAGCAATGCTGTGACCAATGTCCTTTGGAACGCATGATCATATGAATTGCACAAAAAAAAAGAAGTTGTTCAACTTATGCTTTACAGGGGGGCCATGGTGGTAACAACCACAAAACTAACAAAAGAACTTGCGACATATAGGCATTCAGAAGCGTGCATCTAAAACGTAATTCCCTGTCTTAAACGTAGCGACACAAAATATTAAAACGTAAACATCCCATTCATTTCCCAAAAGCGAAGCACAACCATGCTTCCGGTCCGTCAACCCATGCACTTACCTAAAACTTGTTGCTGCCCGTAGCTAGCAAGAAGAAAAAAAAAAAAAGACAGAATGCAAAACATGCACACACCACCATCCTGTTTAAGTACATAGCCAACAGTACCATAAGTCTAAGTTTTAAAAATGAAGAAAAGGACGTGCATCTTCAACACTCGTAAGACCGATACATCGCATCCGGTGACCCCCAAACAGGTTTGCAAATGGCCCCGACGCAGTACACTGGAGCTGCTTCTATGTAAGCCATCCAATGATGTGGTCGTCATCAGGCTGGCACATCATGACCTCCCGATAATCGGCGTTATCCATAAGTGTGGAGGCGAAGTGGAATAACGGCGTACCAATCAGGGATGGAATACTGCTCAGTTTATGCATGCACTCGGAAATAGTGTACAGCAATTCGTTGCCTGTGAGGTGCCTAACCGTGACCTGCTGATTCTTCGAACGAACCACATCTCTCATTTTGTTCATGCTTTCCGCAATAACAGACGCACCACTTGTTGCCTTCTTTTTGACCGTCCTCAAGACTTGGACGTCACCATTGGAACACTTGGTGTTATCCATGTTTTGTGTTCGTTTGGAGTTCCGGAGGTCTCGGCTCGCGCGCCTTGCCTCAGGATCTCCGAACTTGACTGTTTAGTGTCTGGTTTTGCACCAAACACTTGTGTTTTGCCTTGGAGGGGCAGGGAATGCCTTGTGAGGCATCCCCACACATCACCGGCAGTGGCTAGAGGTCACCGGCTGGTTTTTGCTGCCATCGGCACTTTTTGTTGCCGGTCGGCACTGTTTGTTGCCGGTCGGCACTCAATTTTGTCAAAATGACATTTTTGGCCGGCCGACTACTGTGCATCTGCTTTTGCAGATATTTTAAGACAGCTGTCTTGCTTTTTGCTCCCCTCCATATGTATGGAGGGATTTCTCTCTTTAGAAGCTTGTCTTGTAAGCTTTACAAGACAATGAGCTCTATAAGAGAGAGCCTTGTCTCTTGGCTTTAAGGTTAGACACTTGAGACATTTTAGAGATAAAAAAGACAGAGAGAAGCTCTGGTTTTAGGGTTAGGGTTCATACATATCTCCTATCTCTCTTTTTCTCTCTTTGTGCTCTAGGTGTTTTGGTTCATACTATTGCACACAAACACCTAGTGTTTCACCTTCCTTTGGCTCCTGAGGTTCTAAGGGGCTGATTTTGGTGTTTTGGTGTTGGATTCAAGCCAAGGAGGGCCATTGGAGCATCATTTGTGAAGGTGGTCTACAAGGGTGAGAAACTTCCCTTTTATTCCCCATTTTTGCATCTTGTTTTTACCTGTCTTTGAACTGTTTTTGTGCTTAGTGTATAATACAAAAAAGTTCTGTTTTTTAGCCCTCTCGATTGCTTATTAAGAGTGTTTTGTGGTTTGAGGGTGTTTGACCCCTCTTAGGCCTTGAAAGGCCCCATTTTGAGCCATTTTGAGCAAGTTTCGAGACTTTGGTGTTTGGGCCTCTTCACCACTGAAATCTTGAAGGATTTCAGTGGTGGAGATGATGCCTTGAAGTCTCTAAAAGGAGAGGGCCACCCCCTCTCCTTGTTGTCCTTGAAAAGGACCATTTTTGGCCTCTTGAGGGAGCACCTAGCTAAGCTTCATGTTGACCATGCCTTAGTTGTTTTTTGTGCTTATTATATCATAATATGCCTCTATTTTTGTT